TTGACCATCAGTTCCCTATTCATAAAGTAGTTTTCTGGGATGGGAATTCTTAGGGCATTGCATATGCATTGTTTTTTTTTTTTTTTAAAGAGGATCTGCACTGAGCATGGTGGGCTCCTGCCTGTAGTCCCAGCTATTTGAGAGGCTGAGGCAGAAGGATTTCTTGAGCCCAGTTTGAGAATGCAGTGAGCTGTGATCTCCACTGTACTCCAGCCTGGTGACAGAGTGAGACCTCATCTCTTAAAAAAATACAAAATAAAGACATTCTCTTTATCCTGTGAAAGCATTCTGTGACCCAAGAAAGGTTTAGAATCACTATTTTAGGAGATTCTTATTCCATAAGATATTTATATTGAATCTCAAAAGGCATTTACATCTCATATCCTCTGTGATAGCTCCTAATTCATATTTACCACGGTCCTAAATAAGTATCTAATTACCCTACTGTGGGATGTTGTATATTTCTTCAGATCCGGGTTCGAAATCCAGCATTTCAGCCACAAACTTTAATGGACTTTGGCTCAGGTACTGGTTCTGTCACCTGGTAAGTAACTTTCTTCAGCCCTGTCTTGGTCAATTTTAGCTCTAGAAAGCCATACTTACACAACTCCAAAATCAAGAGACTGGAAAACCCAGGGGGAGAGTAGGCAACTTGGGAATCTATAATGTTTCTTCCATCAAATTAGGCAAGGCAGAAGAAGGTATATGAATTGGGGCCAGAACTTAAAGAAATGTCAAGTAAAAAAAAAAAAAAGGCCCATTTTTAGAAAAAAAGAAAAGAAATTATCAAAGGTTTTTTTTTTTGCCTACAAATAGTATTTTGAGTCTACCTTTTTTTTTTTTTTTTGTGGGGGGGGGTTTTTTTTTTTTTTTTTTTTTTTTTTTTTAAGATGAAGTCTCGCTCTGTCACCCAGGCTGGAGTGCAGGGGTGCGATCTCGGCTCACCGCAACCTTCACCTGGGTTCAAGTGATTCTCCTGCCTCAGCCTCCCAAGTAGCTGGGACAACAGGCACCTGCCACCATGCCCATCTAATTTTTGTATGTTTAGTAGAGATGGGGCTTCCCCATATTGGCCAGGCTGGTCTCAAACTCCTGACCTTGCAATCTGCCCACCTCAGCCTTCTGAAGTGCTGGGATTACAGGCATGAGCCACCGCACCCAACCAAGCCTACCTTTTTTTTAAAGGAGTTATAAATAAAACAAGAGAATAACACTTAGTTTTTCCAACTGTTTTAACATAATGCTCTCTTTTCCCAGTGATGGGGTTGGGTATAAATGGGTCTCTTGTAGAGATGACTCTTGGTCATGGGAATTGGTGATTTATAATAATTTTGCCATCTTAGGGCTGCTCACAGTGTTTGGGGCCAGACCCTACGTGAATATATGTGTGTGGACAGATCAACTGCCATGTTGGTTTTGGCAGAAAAGCTACTGAAAGGTGAGTGCAAGAGCACTTCCAAAATTGAGGGAGTTAAGAAAGCACAGGGGTACTAGTAAAAGCATTTTACTGGGAAGTAGAGAAGAGGGTAAAAATTAAGATGAATCTGGGCTATTTTAAAGTTATGGTCAAGCAAAGGGTGGTATTAGAGGTTTCTGCTGGACTGAGGATGGGTTGGGTAAGATTCAAAGGACAGGAAGCCTAATAGTCTCCCTGCCTTTTTTGGTTTTTTGGACTTTTTTTTTCTTTTTTTAATTAGAGATAGGGTCTCCATATGTTACCTAGGCTGGTCTCAAACTCCTGGCCTGAAGCCATCCTCATCCTCCCACTTCAGCCTCTAGGGTAGCTGGGATTATAGGCATGTGCTGCCATGCCTAGCTTATCTCTGCCCTTTTTGATACACACTTTCCCTATTCTTGGGGCCATGTTTCTTACCTGGATACCTCTTCAGTTTATATGTAACTTCCTACACACTACAGTTGCCTCTTCTTTTCTCCACAGGTGGTTCAGAATCTGGGGAGCCTTATATTCCAGGGGTCTTTTTCAGACAGTTTCTACCTGTATCACCCAAGGCAAGTGGCAGTGTTTAGAATATTCTAAATGTGAAATGTGGCAGATAGAAAACTGTGGCTTGAGCTTTTGCAACCCCACACTGAGTGTTAGAAGATAAAAGAAATTTAGCGGCTAGGACTTTGTTGTATTCTTGGGATGCAGAGATGTTGAGTCTGTCATGGTCCTTGTCTTGGTCCTCAGGTGCAGTTTGATATAGTCATATCAGCCTTTTCCTTAAGTGAACTGCCCAGCGAGGCTGACCGTAATGAAGTAGTTCAAACCTTATGGCGTAAGACACATCATTTCCTGGTGAGTTAAAATTCCTTGTTCCCTTAAGTCTTAAAGCAGCTTGATGGATTTCATGCTTTTTCTTCTCTCATTGTCTTCATTCTCCATCTATGATTGTTCTTACAGAGCTACTGACATTTACACCTTCATGTAATTTAAGACTTCTGTGTATTATTCCCTTTTGTAAACAGGTGCTGGTGGAGAATGGAACAAAAGCTGGGCACAGCCTTCTCATGGATGCCAGGGATCTGGTCCTTAATGTAAGGCTTCTTCTTCCCTCACTCCCTCACTCATATGTCACCAGTTACTATTACTCTCTTGAAAGCTAAAGAGACTGTACAATTCAGGACTTTACAATTCAAGATGAGATTTGGAGGAAAAAAAAAAAGAAAAGAAAAAGCTAAAGAGATTGTCATATATTGGCAAGGGTGACTCTCAGGAAATTGGTCATATAAAGTCATTATGATATAGAGCAGTGGTTGGCAAATGAGAGCCTGTGGATCAAATCGGACCTGCCACCTGTTTTTATATTGGCCATACATATTTGTGCCTCTGTTGTCTGTGACTGCTTTCAAACTACAAAGAGCAAAGTTGAGTAGTTGGGACAGAGATAGATTTTGCCTACTCACTGGCCCTTTAAAAGAAAGTTTGCTGACTCCTAATCTACGGCATTGCTGAGCCAAGAACCTTGTCACTGGGAGAAGAGTATGAGCCAGTGTATAATCATAAATTTCATTGTCCTGGAGTGGGATTTTTTTTTGAGAGTGGAGGTTGCTGACAAGGAAGAGCACCGTACTATGTGCCAAGTTCTTGCCTTTCTCCTACAGCAAAGAGAAAGTTCTTTGTTCAGAGTATTAAAGATGCAGCCAGCTTAACTCAAAGGACATAGTTAATCGTTATTAGTGTTGAATATTACAGGAGTCCTCAATTTACTGAATGCAGAGATTGAGTTATGAAAATAGACCCCAGGCCCAGCTTTATTTCTTTTATTTCCTTTGATTTCAGGGAAATGAGAAGTCACCTTTGGACCCTCGACCTGGTTTTGTCTTTGCCCCAGTGAGTATTACTTCTACCTGTCCCACCACACAGATTTGAACTCAGGTGTGGACAGGAAAAGTAAAAGGGTAAAGCTAAGCCACTCTCCACTACTTTGTGTTCCTATCCAGTTCCTACCTAATGATTCCCCTGGCTCTTCCTACCCTCTGCTCCTGTCCTCCCTTCTCCTTGGCGCCTTTTGACTCTATCATTCTTAGTTTTTAAGTTTTGTGATTGATGGCTCTTTTGTCTTACCTCATTTTTTTCTGTGTTCACAGTGTCCCCATGAACTCCCTTGTCCCCAGTTGACAACCTCTAAGCCCCTGGCCTGTAGCTTCTCACAGGCGTACCATCCCATCCCCTTCAGCTGGGTATGTACCTGGGGATATTGCAGCAGGGAGCAAACATCCTGGAAAAACAGGAATAAAAAGAATCAGAGTTAGGAGGAGTTGAATAATTAATAGAACACTCTAGAGACTTTAGGGCCTACATGTGTATGATTTATACATTGTAAAAAAGGACTGCAGGAATGGGAAATGGGGGGTGCTTTACAAACTTTTTCCCCATATCTTTTCTTCTAAGCAGTCTCTATGTTCCTTATCTTAGAACAAGAAACCAAAGGAAGAAAAATTCTCTATGGTGATCCTTGCTCGGGGGTCTCCAGAGGAGGCTAATCGCTGGCCCCGTATCACTCAACCTGTCCTTAAACGGCCTCGCCATGTGCATTGTCACTTGTGCTGTCCAGATGGGCATATGCAGCATGCTGTGATCACAGCCCGCCGGCATGGCAGGTATAGGGGATGTGACCAAAATTAGTGGGATGTGGCAAGAACCTGGAGCCCACATTAATATCTCATTTCTATAGGGATTTGTATCGTTGTGCCCGAGTCAGCTCCTGGGGAGATCTTTTACCTGTGTTTACTCCATCTGCGTTTCCTCCGTCCCCTGCTCAAGATCCCTCTGAGAGTTGACAAGGATGTGTAACAAGTATTTTCTTCTATCATGCCTGCCAGGGCTGAAGCTACCTGGTATCCAGGAGGGGAATGCTGGCATCACCATATGTCTGTGTTTGAGATTTTTAATAATAAATAATAAATTTTTAAAGAATGAAAGTGGATTTCGTGATTCTTATGTGTAGAAGCCAGGCATGGTGGCATGTGCCTGCATTTCCAGCCACTCAGGAAGCTGAGGCGGGAGGATCATTTGAGCCCAGGAGTTAAGGCTGCAGTGAGCTATGATTGTACTACTGCACCATAGCATAGGTGACACAGCAAGACCTCCTCTCTAAAAAAAAATGAAATAAATAAGAATACATAAAAGGTATAGTTAATTAACGTGGCCTATCCTGTAATGAAGAGCTTCCTCAGGTTTTTGGTGCCACTCTTCCCGCACAAATCCCAAGCTCACCTTTCCTATTGTGACAGGCCAGATCTCCATAAGGTCTTCGCTGTAATGATGAATGTATAAGCTCATCATTCAAGCAGAAGGAGAAATGAATTGGGGGAATCAGGTGCCTGAGTAAGAGGGCTGGAATACAAAAAAAACAAGCCCCACCTGTACTTTCTCGACCTGAGATCTAGTTTAGTNTAGTTAATTAACGTGGCCTATCCTGTAATGAAGAGCTTCCTCAGGTTTTTGGTGCCACTCTTCCCGCACAAATCCCAAGCTCACCTTTCCTATTGAGAAAAACCAGATTTCCATAAGCCCTTTGCTGTAATGATCAATGTACATTAAAGCAGAAGCAAAAAAATGAATAATGAATTGGGGGAATCAGGTGCCTGAGTAAGAGGGCTGGAATACAAAAAAAACAAGCCCCACCTGTACTTTCTCGACCTGAGATCTAGTTTAGTGATAAAAGCAGTCCTGCACATAAGACCCATACCAGGACCAACTTAAGATTGATAAACCTTTCTATCTGCAGATCCCTAGTTTAGATAAATTAGGAAATGTATCTAAACTAGGAAATTTATCTAATACATAAGGAAACTCTATGTATGCCCACAGGTATACATAGAGTTCGAATTGTATATATAAGCTAAAGAAAAACTTGTAACTTTGAGTTGGTCTGGTGGGCTACTCCAGCCTTCGCCCTGTAATCAGTTGTAGAAATAAACTGCCTTCTTTCCCAGTCTGTCTGCATCTCATTATTAGACCACAAGAACAAGCAGCTGGACCCCATTCATCCAGAAACACTGTAAGAATAGTGCTTCTACCAGAGGCCAGGACTTCCCTAGGAAGATAATCCGGAGTAGCAAGGAAAGCCGCCTCCAGAGCTCTGAGAACTGGCTCAACAGGTCTCAGGGTTGTTATGTGGGCCATCTGAATAGGGGAATCAGCAGCTGCCTGGACTGTCTTTTACTACTGCCTTCCCTTCTGTTTTTCCCAGGGTCCCTCAGCTACCCTAGAGTATGTATGGGAAATCTCCCATACATTTCCATCAAGAATGATTCCCATCAGAACTGAATCTTCTACCCCCGATGCCTCTATATCCAGGTAGAATACTCTCATTTTCTCAGTTCATTTGTTTTTCCCTAGGCCTTGCTGTTCCAGGGTTAGGGCAGCTGCCTTTGTCTTAAAACTTAAATGTCTTTTTTTCCGCAGTTCTTAGCAGGAAACAGGCACAATCAGAAATTGTGACAGTATCAATGTAATACCAGAAATAACTCATTCCTCTCGAAACTGGTCCAATCAAAAGAGAAAGAAAAAATAAATCAATTTACCACTAGACATTTCCATGCCTGGAGCTATTTTTCTGGAGTTACAAGAAAACATACTCCAGGTGACCCCAAATAAAAGGGGGTGGTTCAAGTATCAGCATTGCAACCTGTAAGACTTAGGATGGAGTGGAGAGGGTATGGAAGGCTTAGATCAAATGTCCTGAGTGAGACAGGACCAGATCGTCCCCAGTATAAAATAGCTGGGAAGCAGCTACCATAGACTTTCCTATTTTGGATTAGACGAACCCTAGGCACACGAACTGAGACTATCCATAGCCCTTGGATTAGTCATGGCATTGAGGAGGAGGAGAAGACGCCACTGGGCTGTGCCTGACAGGGAGTCTGGAGTTTCTGGTTTCCAAGCTCAGGAAGGCGGAGCCAGGGGAGGGGCCTCCATGCAGTGGGAGGGCTGGAAGCTGGGGCAGGACCCATCAGCTCTGCAATGCTACACAAGGAGAAGCAACACAGAAGATACCAACAGCCTCCTGAAACTCGCAAGAGTGGACACTCCAGTGTTGACTACCTAAGATACTGCTTCAAAGAGGGCAACTCCCTTGTCATTCTGACTCCTGGGCTTACACTACACCCCAGAGATGGAGCAACTACTAGGAGTAAAACTTGGTTGCCTGTTTGCCCTGCTGGCTCTCACTCTGGGCTGTGGCCTTATTCCTATCTGCTTCAAATGGTTCCAGATTGATGCAGCTGGAGGTAAAGCTCTTCCCCATCTTTGTTCCATAGCCTGAATCTCACCTCAACCCTGTCCTGATACCTTGCTCTGATTCTCTCACCACCCCCAACCTTGGGATATTGAGTGCTGCCTGCTGCTCTTTACTCACCTTTGTCTGTCTCCGCAGTGCCAGGTGGGTTGTAACTTCTGCTTTTTATTAGGTCATCACCGGCGGGTCCTCGGACTCCTGGGCTGTATTTCTGCTGGTGTTTTCCTGGGAGCAGGGTTCATGCACATGACTGCTGAAGCCCTGGAAGAAATTGAATCACAGATCCAGAAGTTCATTGTGCAGGTGAGAGCAAAGATACCAAGCTGCGGGCCTCTGAGGCCAAAAGGATAAACAGAGCAGAGAAGAGAGCAGGAAAGGGATGGAGCCAAGGACATGGGTGGAACGACAGGGAAGATGAAGCTCTTGTGTGCAATGATGAAAGCAAGTCAGATTAGGCTTTAAGGAAAACAGAATTGCTGAAAGGACAGGACAGGAAGCTTTGCTGCTCCACCCCAAGTCTAATTTCTGCTGTTCTCTCCTTAGAACAGATCAGCAAGTGAGGGAAATTCTTCTGGTGATGCCAATTCAGCTCATGTAAGTACCTCTCACCATCCCCTATCTGGAGGGTGAGGAGAACCAGAGAGGCCTTTCATATCCAGACCCTTTTGGGAGGAATACATGAGGAGTACCAAGAATCCCTTCTGCTCCCTAGCTCAGAAATTGTAGAGGAAAAGGGGAGCAAACTCAATCCCTCTGAGTTTATAGAACCCCAGAGAAAGCTCTTGCTTTACCCTTTCATTCTTTCCCTAGATCTTCTGATAAACCTTACATCATTTTCCCATATTTTTAACTCTATTGAGATTGTGTCCCTTAGTCCCTCTGGCAGTCTTTTGTTGTTGTTGTTGTTGTTGTTTGTTTTCTGAGACAAAATCTCCTCTTTGTCACCCAAGCTGGAGTGCAGTGATGCAATCTCGGCTCACTGCAACCTCTGCCTTCCGGGTTCTAGCAACTCTCCTGCCTCATCCTCCTGAGTAGTTGGGATTACAGGCACATGCCACCATGCCCGGCTAGTTTTTGTACTTGTTGTAGAGACAGGGTTTCACGATACTGGCCAGGCTGGCCTTGATCTCCTGACCTCCAGTGATCTGCCCACCTCGGTCCCCTAAAGTGCTGTGATTACAGGCATGAGCCACTCTGGCATTCTTGTTGTTGCATGTCCATGTCTACTCTTAGCTTTATTTCCCCTGTTCTTTTTTGTGTTCTGTTACCACATTTTCTCATTCTCTTCAATCTCCCAATTCCACATCCATCTAATGCATTGGCTACTCTTCCTTTTCATCTCACAGCCCTCCATTTTATTCCTAGATGGAGTATCCCTATGGAGAGCTCATCATCTCCCTGGGCTTCTTTTTTGTCTTCTTTTTGGAGTCACTGGCATTGCAGTGCTGTCCTGGGGCTGCTGGAGGATCAACAGTGCAGGAGGAAGAATGGGGTGGGGCTCATATCTTCGAACTCCACAGCCATGGACATATACCCTCACCCTCAAAGAGTCCCCTGCGAGCCCTTGTCCTCTTGCTCTCACTCTCCTTTCACTCAGTGTTTGAAGGGCTAGCTGTGGGGCTGCAGCCGACAGTAGCAGCTACCGTGCAGCTCTGTCTTGCGGTCCTGGCTCATAAGGGGCTTGTGGTATTTGGTGTAGGAATGCGGCTGGTGCAGTTAGGTACTAGATCACGATGGGCCCTGTTCTCCATACTATTATTAGCTCTCATGTCCCCCCTAGGTCTAGCCATAGGGCTGGCTGTGACTGGAGGGGACTCTGAAGGAGGGTGGGGCTTAGCCCAGGCTGTGTTAGAGGGTGTGGCAGCTGGCACCTTCCTGTATGTCACCTTCCTAGAAATTCTTCCACGGGAGCTAGCTAGTCCTGAGGCCCCTCTAACTAAGTGGTGCTGTGTAGCCGCTGGTTTTGCCTTCATGGCCTTTATTGCCTTATGGGCCTGAGAGAGTCCTGGCTTTTCTGATGAACCTACTTACGATGTGATGACCTCTCTATCCCCAGGGACACCGCCCAGATGGCTTTGGCCCTCAGACATTTTTTTACTGAGACTAAATAACATTCAATAGGACTGGACTGGACCCCAGCTTTCCTTTACCTGAGATCCCATTTCTCACCCAGGACTGAGAAAAAGATATTTAGGTTGAGCAGCTATGAATTGGAGCATTGGTACAGAGACCCCTCAGGTTTTGTTCTTGTCCATTTATGCTACTGTGTGTAATAAAATGCCCATTTTACCCTCCTTCAGCCGTTTTGGATTTTATTTCTCCTGGTTGCCTAGAAGCTACCTGGCACATGAAGCCGTGGAATAGGGAATGGGAAGAATGAATGCTGAATGTAGTATTTTCTTCTGGAATTAGAACCCCTAGCCATTCTGTCAGTTGCCAGCCATAGCTCCAGACACAAAGCCTTGCTAAAATTCCAACAGCCTCCTCCCACCTTACCCGCTTTAGTTGAGAAAATGAGCCAGTTCCCAGCATTTAAAAGGAAAGAAAGTTAGAAACCAAAATGATGTGGATGTTCCTACACTTAACATACCCACCCCACTCCCAGTCCCTACTGTCAGCCACCCATGACACGTCCAGGCTAAATGGAGATCAGACGGAATGGAGCCCATCTCCATCAGGTTTCTATTTCTTCACACTGAGCCCTGTGTGGCCTGAGGGACACTATTGCTCTTCTTTGAGCTTCTATCTCCTTCCAGCTGCCTTATGTTGAGGGATTAAAAAGCAGTGTGTTTGGAGAGGGAGAAAGGTGCCAGATATTAAAATAAAGGCCTGGGGCAATTACTTGGCTCTTGCAGGATTTATTGGCTTTCTTTGTGTCTGCCTTACCAATTCTCTTTCCATCTGAGTAACCCCTACAATGTGCTGCTTCTCTTAAAAACTGCTGAGGATGGCTGGGAACAGTGGCTCGCGCCTGTAATCCCAGCACTTTGGGAGGCTGAGGCAGGCAGATCACAAGGTCAGGAGTTCAAGGACAGCCTGGCCAATATGGTGAAACCCCATCTCTACTAAAAATAGAAAAATTAGCTGGGCTTGGTGGCACATGCCTATAGTCCCAGCTACTTGGGAGGCTGAAGCAGAAGAATCTCTTGAACCCAGGAGGAGGAGGTTTCAGTGAGCCAAGACCGCGCCACTGCACTCCAGCCTGGGCAACAGAGTGAGACTCCATCTAAAAAAAAAAAAAAAAAAAAACTCCTGAGGACAAATACAAAAGCAGGTTAGCTGAAACTGAGTAGGAACAGGATAGCTATTGCGTAGCCCCCAGCTCATGAGTTGGAGGAATATCTCAAACTTAGTGGAGAAATAGGGAAAGAGAAAGTGTGCTCTGTGAGTTCAATTACCCTCACAAGTTGGCCCTTTCTAGTATTTTTAGCATGAAAGTCCACGTAGCTTTAACATGGATATTCATTCTTCTTCTCAGACTCTGTCTCCTTTTGATACTGTTCCCCTCCCTACAAAGTAAGAAATACAAGCCTCCTCACAAGCCCAGTTTACACACCCAGAGATCAGTGAGAAGGCAAGCTTCAGGCAAAAATGATAGATAGATAGACAGAAAGATACATAGATAGATAGATATGTCTAACACAGGAAATCATTTCCCTAAAGCACCATAGTATTGTTTTCTATTTAGTGTTAAAATGCAGTAACATGTAATACACTCAGAACAGTTGTCCAGTGTGTAGCACTTTCTATTGTAATAGTTTCTACATTGAACAACTGCTATGTGCCAGGTACCACTGTAGCAGGCCAGGTTTCATTAATGCAGGACTCTATCAAAACTGTTTCAGTATTGACTGAGTGGTTAAGTATTAAAAGCTAAAAAAGGCTAAGTACGGTGGCTCACGCCTGTAATCTCAGCACTTTGGGAGGCCAAGGCAGATGGATCGCCTGAGGTCGGGAGTTTGAGATCAGCCTGACCAACATGGAGAAACCCGTCTCTACTAAAAATATAACAAAAAAAAAAAAAATAGCAGGATATGCGGGCACATGCCTGTAATCCCAGCTACTCAGGAGGCTGAGGCAGAAGAATTGCTTGAATTTGGGAGGCAAAAGTTGTGGTGAGTTGAGATCCTGCCATTGCACTCCAGCCTGGGCTACAAGAGTGAAACTCTGTCTCAAAAAAAAGGTAAGGGTACTCACCCCTGCTTTACAGCTAGGTAAGGCGTGGGACACATGGAGTTAGATGCTGGAATAAGTCAGACCTTATCTGCACTTCTGTCTAGGTCCTAGGCTCCATACCTAGTACATAGTTAAAATCCCAAACTTACCAAGGTTTTCACCAAAACTAAAGGTTGCTAAGAGTTAACAGTGTAACATGTATTTGGGACTATTGAAGAAACAATTTACATGCAAGGTGTGTAAGTAAAGTAAAATATACTTTTTTGGCAAAAGATTATAAGGAGGCATGAGAATGTGAATTTTTGCCTAGATTAAAAGCTTAAAGGATTGTTTTAAGTTGGATACAATAAAGGTTTAAGCAAGTTGTAGAAGGTAAATTGTAGACAAAACTCTGTGTATGAATATAGTGGCTAAAGTTAGAGGGGGCATCATCCAGTTTTCCTGTAAATTGAGCATTGAAATAAAAGCACAATGGGTTTCTCTTAGAGCACTAACTGGCTCTCTAACAAAAATTGTAAAGGGTTATAAAAAGTCTGTAAAAATCTTACCTTATGGTCAAACATTAAAATTGGGTAAATATGTCTATAAGGATTTATTAAGAATTGGGTTTGACATGAATAGTACACTGATGTAAAGGTGAAATTTGGCTTATTTGGTATGAAAATTATACAGGAAGCATTGTCAAATATGAAATAGTGTTTGGCTTTCTTTGGGCTATATTTGTGTAACTATGTTATTGGTATGTGTTCCAAAGTTATGGGAGATTCCTACAATTCTGATATATCTTAGTGTATGTTATCAGTAATAATTATAATTGTTATGTTAAATTATTGTGTGCTATAGAGGTAACAGATTTCCTTGACAATTGTACCTCTTTCTTTTTTTTTTTTTTTTTTGAGACAGAGTCTCACTCTTGTCACCCAGGCTGGAGTGTAGTGGCATGATCTCGGCTCACTGCAACCTCCGCCTCCTGGGTTCAAGCAATTTTCCTGCCTCAGCCTTCCAAATAGCTGGGATCACAGGCATGTGCCACCATGCCTGGTTAATTTTTGTATTTTTAGTAGAGACAGGGTTTTGCCGTGTTGGCCAGGCTGGTCTTGACCTCCTGACCTCCTGATCCTCCCACCTCAGTCTCCCAAAGTGCTGGGATTACAGGCATGAGCCACCACAGCTGGCCATCAATTGCGTCTTTAACTATGGCTCCCCTAAAACATTTTGTTATCTGTAAACAATTGTCATCTTGTTTTGATCCTCTTTAGAAGGGGGTTTTATAATCAGCTATAAAGCTCTAACAGGGCTGGGTGCAGTAGCTCATGCCTGTAATCCCAGCACTTTAGGAGGCCAAGAAGGGTGGATCACCTGATGTCAGGAGTTTGAGACCAGCCTGGCCAACATGGTGAAATCTCATCTCTACTAAAAATACAAAAATTAACCAGGCATGGTGGCATGCACCTGTAGTCCCAGCCACTCAGGAGGCTGAGGCAGAAGAATTGCTCAAACCCAGGAGGCAGAGGTTGCAGTGAGCCGAGACAGTGACATCAGAATAGAGGAAAAACATTCAGGGCTACTGGGAACAAATAGACCTCTTCCACTCCAGTGCTGCATTTGGTGCTTCATAACGATGACCCTCTCTCAGCAGGAAGTAGCCAGAAAGATTACAATGCCCCATCTCCCTATGATTCTCATGATAAACAAAAATACGAGCATGATAGAAATCATGCACAAATTGACAGTGGGGATTGTGGCAGGCCAGGCTTCACTAACGCAGGCCTCTATGACAACTGTTTTAGTGCTGACTGGGTGGTTAAGTTAAATGTTAAAAGCCAGTGTCCTTATACAAATGCTGTAATGTAACAAAAGCCCATCAAGGGTTTTGCCTACACCTTTCCTGGCAAAACTTAAAGCATGACAAAATAACCAAAAAATTCTTAACAGGACCCATTTAGGATTAAACAAGTTTTATAGAGGGTCTTCACAAACAAGTCCCAGCTTCTTGAATAGCTGGGACTATAGGTGCATGCCACCATGCCTGGCTAATTTTTGTATTTTTAGTAGAGATGAGATTTCACCATGTTGGCCAGGCTGGTCTCGAACTCCTGACATCAGGTGATCCACCCTTCTTGGCCTCCCAAAGTGCTGGGATTACGGGCATGAGCTACTGCACTCAGCCCTGTTAGAGCTTTATAGCTGATTATAAAACCCCCTTCTAAAGAGGATCAAAACAAGACGACAATTGTTTACAGATAACAAAATGTTTTAGGGGAGCCATAGTTAAAGACACAATTGATGGCCAGCTGTGGTGGCTCATGCCTGTAATCCCAGCACTTTGGGAGACAGGTGGGAGGATCAGGAGGTCAGGAGGTCAAGACTAGCCTGGCCAACATGGCAAAACCCTGTCTCAACTAAAAATACAAAAATTAACCAGGCATGGTGGCACATGCCTGTGATCCCAGCTATTTGGAAGGCTGAGGCAGGAAAATTGCTTGAACCCAGGAGGCGGAGGTTGT